GACGAAGTTAAGACCTCGGTTCATAGGACCGTTCAACGTCGTGGCCAGGAAGGGCCTAGCGTATACGCTCAGCCTTCCGAAGAAGATGCGCACGCATCCGGTCTTCTATGTTGGCTTGCTTAAGCCATATCAAGACCCTGCTCAGGTGAGCGCGGAGGCGTTGGCACCAACGGTGGCTGGGCCACGGACAGCTGCAGGGCAGCAGGTGGGAGAGCCACGGGAGGCTGAACGACAGCAAGTGGTGGATCGACCAACAGCATGTGGCAGAGCCACAGGTCGCGAAGCGAAGTGCTCGAGATGCAGGAGCAAGGCAAGCTGAACGTTCAGCCGAGCGACTGGACGCTCAAAGTTCGAGACCTTGTTGTGAGTCAACAGTGGTGGCTCTAGCCTATCCACAAGGTGGATCATCTCTTCGAGATCGACCGATGGGCGGTGAACGTGAACGTTCGCGTCGTGGACGCCGGCGTCGCATGGACGCAGACGCCGTTCCGGCAAGTGCTGACTCTCCCCACGAGAGCCCAGCTGAGGCAAGGCCTCCTCCTGCTCTGCTCGATGAGCATGGTGAGCTCCACGTTCACGTGGAACGCCTTGTGGCGTGGCGTAGACGCCAGGGTCGTACCCAGTACTTGGTGAAGTGGAGGGGTTACCCTCACTCACAGAACTCATGGGAGTTTGAGGTTATCCTCCGGCAAGATTGCCCTGACGTCGTTGACGCTTACGACCGGGCACATCATGTGCCGAAGCGCCACCATGGCGTGCGACAGCGTCGCCAGGCGCTAAGCGCCTCCCACTAGCGTGGGGAGCGATCAGGTCAGTAGTTGAGCTCAGGCTCTGACCAGTGGCTGCAGCAGCCAGCTCGTACGTATGAGCGGTGCTCGCAGCGGGAGCAGGAGGTGGAGAGACCTCGTAGTGTTAGGGAAATGGTCCCGAAGGAAGCAGGTGCTTCGTGTTGTACTGAACAAGGTTCAGGCACAAGCGTCTCGATAGACGCATAGTTGTTTTGAAACAACTTGCTCGATGAGCATGATCCAAATGTGGATGCGCTGTAACAGCGAAAGTGGTGTCCCGGATGGGGATCGAACCACTGGCCTTTGGCTTGACAGGCCGGAGCTCTACCATTGAGCTATAAAGGCGATGCCCGTACGTCAGTCCGAGAACGGACTACTCATGGTATGAGAGGGCTGCGCCCGGGTGGATTTGAACCACCGACCTGTGGCTTCCAAAGCCAGCGCTCGACCACTGAGCTGAAAGGGCGTTGCCCTTAAGCTTGTCCATTCAAGGACAACAGTTCATGGAGCGAGAGGGCTGCGCCCTGGTGGTTACGAACCACCGACCTGTGGCTTCCAACGCCAACGCTCGACCACTGAGCTAAAAGGGGATTGCCCTTAAGCTTGTCCAAGCGTGGACAATCGTTCATGAAACGAGTGGGCTGTGCCCTGGTGGGTTCGAACCACCGACCTGTGGCTCTCAAAGCCAACGCTCAACCATTGAGCTAAAAGGGTGTTGCCCTTAAGCTTGTCCAAGCGTGAACAATCGTTCATGGAACGAGAGGGCTGTGCCCTGGTGGGTTTGAACCACCGACCTATCGCTTGTGAAGCGAGTGTTCAACCGCTGAGCTGTTGTCGACGACTCGACTGAGTCAAGAGCATTGCTCTAAGCGGTTTGCAGCTCTTTGGAGTAGACCGCGAGCGCGAGCGTTAGGTCTGAGCCCCCTTGAGAACCAGATTCCGCCTGCGCTTGGAACATTAGGCCGTGGGCCGACGACGAGAAGTTGGGCATCAACGATGCGTAGGCGTTTGTGAGCTGACGGAGCTGTACAACGCTGGGGTGAGGTGTAGTAACCTCCGCCGTCTTAACAAGACGTGACCTCGCTGAGGAAAGTTTCGAGAACGGAATGTTCTCATCTTAGTGGGGGAGAGTGTAACGGGGTTACATGGTGTGGAACACAAAGGGGTACGAAGTACCCGGAGAGCTAACAAACTCTCAGTACATAAGTTGGAGAGTTAACAAGGCCTCTCAGTTCGTTGGCTGAAAGCCACACGTTATGTATTTGATTAGGTTTAACGATGCTAGATAGTTAAAGAGATACATTTGCCCCTAGGCGGCTTGGCCGCAATAATAGTAAATAAAACACTTCTGATTTTGAAGCATAAAAGTTAAGGTATTAACTTTGAGCCCTGGTCTTGGGCTGTAAGTGTCCTTTGGATAAGGAACTTAGTATTAGTGACTCTTTGAGTCGAACGTCTTCTTCTAACGCTAAAGGTACGGCAGCCCCGCTGCATTTCGGGTCTATTCCTAATAAGAAGTCCTAGTCAAGTATACAAATATCAAGTAAGCTATGATCCGTTATGGATCTTCTTGCACGCCAAGCGTCGTCTGCACTGTCGCCTGAGCATCTTTAACGGCTCCCGACCTGTCCCAGACGGTGAATGTGCCTTCAAATGGTCGCTGAGCCTTCCGTGAGCTTATCCCAACCGCCACCGAGGGTTCGTACCGTGAATGGAAAGTTCTGGGCAGCTGAATGCGAATCCGGCCAGTCCATTATTAATAATGAGGACAGCCTGGATTCAGTGACATCTGGACTGTATCCCATATCCGTTGAGAGCTCGGTAGTGACGCCGTCGAGTTTCTTGCACCTTGGAGTCACCGTTCATCACGTGACCGAAGGTTCGTCGCTTGAACGTCTCGGGCGATGCCGCGTCTTTGTCGACGGGCGATTATCCGCAACTCTGGCGAATTTACTGCACCACATTGGTGCCTCCCCGCAGTTGTTGTGTTCCGTCACCCGTGTATCATGCTCTCCTGGTATGACCCCATCGACCGCGCTCTCGCGCTATCATGCAGCCGCGGTGTGGTTGTGCTGTCTTATGTAATCGCATTCGCGTAGTTTGTCTGCGTTTCGTATATTATCGTGTTCTACAATGGCTTCGTGCTCCGCGGTGTGCGATCGTGGTCACTCCTAGCGCCCCCAGTGTATTTCGTGGCTGGTCCGCCGTCCGTGCAACGTGGTATAACGTGGCTTGGAGATCTCAAGCCTTACACTGGTATCGTGTTCCGTGGCTTGGTGATGTCCCGTCTATAGCTCCCGTGGCTGCGTTCTCTCATTTTTAGTGGCACCGTCCATGCTTTCGTGCTATCTCGTGATGTCGCGGTTGATCTATCGTCCGTGCTTTCGTTACCTACCGTAATATCGTATCGTGCATCAGGCCTCGGTGAGCTCTGGTTCTACCCTAGTATCGTGCTTCAATGCTCGGGAATCTTCCATTTAAGATATCCCTCGGCTTCATGTCTGGTCCGTTGACTCTGCTCCATGTTCTACCGTGATGTTATTGGAGAATTATTTTTGTGCACTCTCACCGTTACGTGTTCCATCGTGGCTTTGAGCTTGCGTGCTCTTTCATAGCTGTGCTTTTCAGCATGTTTGGGTGTCATTACTTCAGTTCATTTCTCCCATCCGTACGCTCCCGTCATATTCTTGCCCTTCCATCGTATGTGGTAGCGAGCTCGTCCGTGGTTCGTGCTTTTCAGAGTCGCTAAGTGCATTCATAGATTTCGTCCTCTTTCAACGTCCGTGGTCTTGTGCTTCTTGCTGTTCTTTCTATCCCATCGAGTTCATAGTCTGCCTTGGTGCTCTTGCGTGTTATGTGTTTTTGTTGGGAAGTGCGAATATTCTCTAAGGGTCGCACAAACGCAAATACGAAGGAAGGTTTTTTTTTGCGACGGCGGAGTGGTGTGTGTAGGATGGGAAGCGTATCGTGTTGGAAAGTGCGCACAATCTCTTTAGGCCAAACTATACGCACGCAAATACAAAGGAGGACGATATTTTTTTGCGGCGGTGGAGTGGTGTGCGTGGATGAATTGGGATGGGCGGAAACCACTATAGTCGCATTTAAAAAAAATCGAATATTTAGTAACAGTAAAAAATCGTGCATCTTTATCTAACGCAAATAAGTATAATAGTTTAAAGTAATTAGACAAAGTAATATGATTTACTATTTATCTGGCGCTGCTATAAATATTTTATGTAGTACTACTACAGACGTCTGCAAGCAATAAAATGAAATATATCAAAATAGTCGAAAAGAAAACGTATTGTCAGTAAAAGTATTTCAAAGGTGCTAATAAGTTGAAATACACCATTGTTTTAGCTATTAGTACTAAAGTTCCCATTGAAGCCGAAATATAAGTCATCAGAGCATACAATTTTTATTCAATAGCTCCTACGACGATATAGTACGTGTGTGCGCATCGACGCCTTCTACTAATGCTATCTAACGCGATCACAGGCAGCGCCCTTCGCGTGAGGTGGCGGTCCACCGTTAAAAATGGGGCAAAATGAAATTTGAATGGTGCATTTTAAAGAACGATGTGTAGACCACATACGGTGTGTAGACCGCATAATCAACGTTTAGCCAATTGGGGCCGCCTTTGCTGCGGTCGGCAGCCCGTAGGTGTCAGTCGGGATGGGAGCCTTATCGTCGTCGGAATCTTCCGACGCGTAGTCTTACTCCTTGACACCTGGTCGATACGCTTGTGAAGCTTTCCATGAGCCACTTGGTGAGCAGTGTACGCCAACGCTGCAGAAAGAGCTTGGGGGTCAACGGCAGCAGCCTGTATGCGCTGCAAAGCAACCAACGTCTCCTGGTCCAATTCTAGAGCATCCAGATCCAGTTTACCCGCGGTGAGACCTGTCACCAGAGATTGTGAATGAACTTTTGTTGCTGAACTTACGGTGATAAGAACAACATGTGATACGAGCCATCATCATCCAGACGCAGGACCTCTGGATCCATTTCGGCCAAACTCACGTGAGCGCGAAGAGTACGGCAGATCTGGCGAAGGTGGGTGTTGCGAGCTTGCTGATTCTCTAGGACCTTGAGCGTGTCGTTGTTGATATATTTTCCTTTGGAAAGCTTGACCAAGAGAAGATGAAGTCATCGAGTCTGCTCGGTGTTCGCACCAATTGAAGACTTGTATACCTCGCGTTAACGAGCCAGCTTCTAGTTCAAGGTGGCGATGAACGCGTCCCGCGCATGGACCTCGCAGTGCAGGCGCTTCAGCTCTTCTGTATGTTGCTCCATAGAAGACTGCACACTCGAGATCATGAGATCGTTCTTGGCGTTGGAATCACGGAAAAGCTTGATGCCCATGCGAAGAGAGTCGACTTCAGCGTTAGCAGCTTTCAGGAACGACTCCGCGTTCTCCCGAGCCGTAATTGCATGTGCCACTGAACGTACGGCGGCAGTAGCCTCGGTCTGGGCGGCCCATAGCTGACGCTCCAGACTGGCAACTTGGTCGGGCAAGTCCATAAGCGCATCTGGAAGAGGCCGTGCAGTAGCGATACTTCCCCCAGGAATGACGCGCACTGTTAAGCTGATCCGGGTAGTGTACATCTCCTCTACTCGGTGTGCGCCTATATCACCGGTACCCTTCAGCGTCACTGTATTAGTATCCAGATCTACCACAGCTCGGAACGCCTTAAGCGCGTCTGTGCCCAATATGCCATCTACGTGTAAGCGATCCACCACAACAAGCGGCTGCTCTAACTCGATAGTTCCAAGCCAAATGGGTAGGTCGATCACTTTGTCAGCATGCAGCCGTTTGCCATCCATACTGTTCAGGGTTAAGTCGTAAGGCCTTAACGGAGCATTCGTCAGTCCAAGCGTCTTCAGCATGTGAGCCTCCCCCAGTCACGCTACGGCCCCGGGTGTAGTTCAGAATATCCATCGGCCCACTGTCAATATAGATACGGCCTCGACGCCTCCAACCAATCCGATGATGCGGTTACCCACCGGTACGGCGTCGGTGTCACAGCCCGAACCGTCGTCCTCTGGGGTTTCAGAAATCTCGACCAATCCCTGTTTCTGCTGCTGCCCGCATCAGTATCAGCCATCGCGTAGACATAGCGCTCGATATCGTTCGCTGGATCCTCGATCGAATAGTGTGACCCTAACATCTCAGAGTGTTTAACAAACAGGGACGAGCAGTCGAAATGCACGTGCCTGTCTCTTCGCTGACTCCCGTTCGACAGCTAAGACGTCTTGCATGGGGCACACAACCCAGTTCTCTGAGCGACCTTCTCCACATCAGCTCAGCTCCGTGCTCGTAAGCGTCAAAGGCAGCTTTCACCACACGCTCGAAGAAACAATCGTCCATTTGATCGACTAAGTCATTTAGTCGCTCGCGTATTCGGGCATTCCGGCTCACCACGGGACACATTTCAGCGCTGCTCTCGTCGTCATCACTGTATTGTGCAGACTCACAAGCGGCACACGGACGCCGGTCATTTCGTTTCGTTTCCTCTTTTACTAGGCGATACACCACCTGTCTAGTCTACGCTCTCCAGCGAGAAGGTAGGGTGCTCTAGTCCTCAGTTAGCTTATGCACACTGTGTTCTGTACCGGGACGGTCCTCCTTGCAGATGCTTATCCAGATGTTTTCCTCAACATCGTCTCGTCACTTCTGACAGACGTCGCGTCCGCCGTAACGTACGCCTTGACACTCTCATTCAGGTCAAGGCCCCCTCCAACTCCAACATCTCAGTCATCGGAGTCACTCTCCAAAGCCAACGCCCACCTTGCCGCTCTATTACGTCCGAGCTCACGGAAAACTCAGCTGACACGCTTTGCAGCTTTGGAAGCAACAAGCGATCTCTGATACCAACCGATCCAGTATTCTGAAGTGCATAGTTTGCCTGGCGAAGCCGCCCGCGTCCTAGTCACCGTTTCTTCAAGAATCCCAGCATCACCCCCAGGTCGCTTAGCGTCGGTTCCTTCTGCTGTTTCTTGTTTTCCTTCACACGTCGTTTCAGTTCCACCTCGTCAAGAGAGTATATCCGGCCCTCGCGCTCCTTGTTAAATTCTTCCTCCTCGATCGGTACGGATAGGTCGGCTTCTTCTGTCAAAGTGTCCAGCTCCTCGGGCGCAAACAACGTCACGTGGGGTTTGGGTGAGACGCCATCATGGGGCTTGTCGTCCTTGTATTCTGCTTGCCCATCCTCGCTCATGGGAGCAAGTTCTGTAGCAGCACCCACCGTCTCTTGTCTATTCTTGATCGCCTCTGCGTCTGCTGCTCACTTTGTTAGTGCCAGTCTGGGCAGGTGGCACGGTATCTGACCGTTCCCACTCCAACAATTGTAAAGAATCGGGATGACCCTTGCCACCACGTAATGCGTCTGACTTCGCGCCAAAGTTATCCGAAATTGTAAATGCAACAGCAGCACCATTCGCATTACCCGTTTCGTTTGTTCTGCTTGTACTCTTTAGCTTGTCAGTAATTTAAAAGTTATCTTGAGCGGTTCGTGTCAGGACGCGCGGTCCATCCCGGTACGCTCCGTCCCCTCGACGCTGCCCTTCAGAGCTCCCGTCCGAGGCCGAATTGTTCCCAGTCAAACCCTCGTCGACCGGGATTTACGTCCTCGCTTAGTCGGCAACTGTGACAGCGTTCACGCCTTCAACCGTGGCGGGGGAAGCGGCGACCTTAGTCACCGTAGCCTCCAAGTCACCTCGTAGCCGTGTGTCTTGTCGTCATCGGATTCAACTTGCGTCTTGACGTCCCCAAATTTATCGTACCCCTCGTACGAGTCCTTGCTCACTTGTTCAACGTGTCCACTCACTTCATTGCCTGCCAACTCACCACCGCCGTAGTCGTCGTCATAGAGCCACCTTGTTTGTGACTCTCATTTCCTCCCTTGTCGTACTCAGCAGCGCTCGCATTCTCTGGGGCTTACGTCGTAGCGCACCTCGCGCTTGACGCACAACCCAGCGGAGCGTTTCTCATCGTATTCAGTTCCAGGCTCATACGCGTCATTTACCATTGCACTATTTCCACCGGAAACAGGATACTCTTCCCTCCCAAACTCAGGTGTCACTTCGAGCTGCTCACACGCCGCACCCAAAGAACCCGGGGCGTACCCCCTGGTGCCGTCCACCGGCCAAGAGGAAGGAGCATCACTCCCTTCCTCCCGCCACCGTCATTGTTGGCGAGGTGTTTGACCTTGCATCGGAGGAGAGTTCGCAGCCCTCTTACGTGATTACAGGGTCGGACACTCGGACACCATGTGATATCTGCCGTCACACATAAAGCACACGCGCGGGTTACAGAACTGTCCACGCGAGCGATTGCGCCGTTGTTGTGGCTGCTATTGCGGGTTGCAAAGGTAGCGGCTGTTGTGACTGATGCGGGGCAGACTGGTACACGTTACACTAATATGACCCTCCGCCTGGTACGACGATCAGGTAGCGTACTGTCGGCGATAGTTGATACGGCTACAGCCCAGCGTATGACACGCCCACATACCATAAGACTATTCTGAGAGTACAGGACAGGTCCTAAGCGAGGCCCACGTACGGAAGTAACCGGCATCTGAGAGCCGAACTCCACGGGTTGGAGAACACTCTGAGTAAAACGCTGTCCGACAGGTACTTGGAAGGTTGCGGCCACCGGTCGTGCAGATTGAGGACTAGACACAACCTACGTGTTGCTTTTGTTGTTGGGCTTTATATTTCTGCGGCTGCTGCATAGTGCTCTCGGACGGTTGCCTGAGCAGTAGTGCTCTCAAACTCTCTTCAACGGGTAAATGCATGTTCTTGTAGAGAAGAACAGCGATCACTTGAGAAATCGAATTGACCATCGTCGTAGCTAGAGCAGCTTTCCACTCCTTATTCCGTAGACTGGACATGAAAAACTGGTAGCGCATCTGTGAATCATAGCATTGGGCAGCGTCGCACAAACCCGAGACGGGATCCCCCCAAAATTCAGCAGACATTCCCTTGGAACGCTTGGTAGTCTTGAGATGTTCAAACATCTGAAGTGGCATGTGACAAATAAAATGATTGTGGAAGTGCATCCGGAGCGTATCCAATTTATCGATCTGCGAGTACAGCCACCACTCCTCACCAGGCTTACTCTTGAGGCACTCTCTGAAAACACTGAGACGGATAGGTTCATCGAGGCCAACGGTAGCACGCTCAAAAGCGTCCCAGAACGTCTTCGCTTTCTCTACCGACACACCGTCCGAGTAGAACCGCTGAATCAACCGCACCGTATTCTTGATGCTAGAGGGCATCCCGTTCAGCCGCTGTCTGACCGGCGGGTTATCGCACTCGCTCCCATAGATAAACGGTTGCGTAGCGTAGCTGGACGAAGGCTGTGCGCACAGCCAACAAATTCCAAAGTCAGACCCGGGAGGTCCACCGGATGGAAACAAATTCAGGAGATATCGGCTTCGTAGGCGGAACAGATCCAACATTTGGTACCGATCCTTCGGTCGTCCTCGCCGCAGCGACAGGAGCTCCACCACTCGGAGTAGCATCGCCTGCTGTACCATCCACCCCAGCCGATATAGGGGGCACTAACCACAGCACAATTCCATACACGAGTCCAAAACGTGCCAATTACCGCAGGTTGCGTTCCGGACGTCGGGTACCAAAACGACTGTCCAGACGTCACTTGGTTTACTGAACTAGGAACATTCGCGGGGGCATCAACGGTACCAGTGCCCGTCAAAGTAGTAGCGTTCTATAGCGGTGTAGGAGGCGACACACTTACCCCTACTAAAGCGTAAGCCAACGCTTAACTGACAGAGGCGTTCCCACTCGGTCCGTCCGGATGGATAAGTGAGCACGCCGTTAAAGCCATCCCTAGCCGGAATCATCGCATCACCAATCGTAAAGTCAGGGTAAGAGGGTGTATCCGTCCGGGTCCGCACGGGTGTAGGCGTGACTGCTCCCATATCGGCCACTAGCGTCGCAGGCGAACCAGCCCAAGCCCAGGGAGGCATCGACGAAGTCGGAACTGGAGTAGCACAACCCGAAGGTTGTCGTACAGCTGCGGAACCACCGCATTGAGCGGCGTTCAGGACAGCAGCGTAGAACACATGACGCCAACCACAGTTTGTCAGCGCAGGCTCCGTAGGGATCTATGACCGACCGTTGGGCTAAATCCCGTTACTCTGCCATCCATGCTGCGTCGGATTAAAATGCTGGCCCGTATCACCTACCGTAATACCCGAGGTATCCGCGATTGCCAGGCGTAGGCTGGAGGCGAGGCTCAGTGGCTGCAGTCCGGACAGAAGCGTTTCTTGAAACACACTGGTGGACCCACCAGCAGTAACACTCGTTGCACCAGCACCTGTTGTAGTCACCAGCGCACTCTGTGCTCCAGTTCTTGATGCCGACAGACTTCTAGCTCGGGTCTGGATCGATCTACTAAGAGTCCTCGCCCAGTGCCGTCGGCAGCACGATGTATCCGGTTTTGGACAGATTCGACACCGGCTTGTGTTGACAGGTCAGGCTGGGTCGGACTCGTTGGTGCACGTTGCTCCCAAGTACCAAAATGTACCATACTATTACCTGTGTTGCTTCCAGTAGTGAACACCTCATTGACATGGGCCAGTCAGCCGTAGTCGGATTCGGACTCACTGTCGCTGCTCTGCGAATCCATGTCGTCTTCACTATGCTCGAGCTCCAGCCGGGTAAACCAATCCAGGAACCAACGCACGCCTCTTCGGAAAGTCACAGGAACAGCTTTCGCATTAGGTAGCAGTACACTCCAGTCTGGAACACTCGGGTTATTGTATGTCTGATCCGTCTCCAGTGAGCGAGTACCCTGCTTATCCACCAGATGTCGTATACTTCCCCTGTTCGGGATCGGGCTGTTAAGTGAGTAGGGACCTTGACTTAGGTGACAGGCAGACCGTTTAGGTATAAAAGGAGGGGCTCTTGCGTCAATATAAAGAGTGTTTGTTTGTTTGTTTCTGCTGTTTTCGCTTCTTTGCTGAACGAGAAAAATCTACCCCTGACTAGCAAAAATGTTCGTCGGAACACCTTCTACATTCTTACATACATGACGACGTCAATGCGCCATTTTGAGCTACTTGATGTGCCATCCGTCCCCAACATGAAATTCTCACCACTTTAGCCGTGTGTAGATTCTCGACTCTATTCGTCCTCGCATCGCCCTAGCGATGCATCATCCTCTAGTCGTCAGGCACCTCGAGCCGCCATCTACCGACTTTCGAGCGAAGAGAGTGCCCCTGTACCACAGGAGCGGTACACTTACACCCTGTACTCATCCTCTGCTGCCGCCATTGGTGCCGGAGGGATCACCCAGTGTATGTCTGGAAAGTGAGGAAGTTTATGAAGCGGTAGTTTGGAGTCCGAGGGAGTTCGGATGCGTCGGTTTGGAACGAGAAGAAGCGTTTTAAGAGAGATTCGTTGACGATAGAAACGAAGATTCAGGAACAAGGCACGACGACGAGAAACGACGGAACGTTACGGTTAAAACGGAACGAGTGCTACGAACGGCTACATCGCAACGACGTGCTACTTGGCGGTCTTCTTCTGGTCGTCCTCATCTTCGTCCTTGTCGCTTTCCTCGTCGTCGTCCTCGTGCTCAACGAATTCCTCGTCTTCCTGCTCGTCTTCGTCTTCGTCGGCTTCGGACTCCTCGTCGTCGTTACCTGAAGCGTCTTCGCCGTCGGCCGCAGCTTCCTTCTCTTCGTCCTCGCCTTCATCTTCGAACTCGGACCACTCGTCGCGGCGACGTTCCGTACCGGACGGTGGACGGACAGTTGGAACTTCGTACGTTCCTGCGGTGATCTGGGCCATAATGTCGTCTTAAGCCAGCTTGACGGCGTGGTTGTTTACGAGCGTCTGCCACGGTTCCTCGTTCTTCTCACCAGCCCAAGTCACGTTTGGCTTCGTGCTTGACATGGTGTCGCGGCGAATTCGCGCTAAGGCAGCAAGGGAGAGCCGGCTCTTCTCGTCTGCATCCGGATTCAGCGCGTCCGTAGACTCGAACAAGTAGCGCATGCTGGGGTACCCGTAAGTGTCGATATTCGACGGGTCCAGCGCGTTCTCGAGCGTGGCGTCGTAGCGTTCCTTGTCCTTCTGCTTCAGGGTCGCTAGGTCCTCGGCAATGGGTCCGTTGTAGGGGCGGCCATCGCGTGTGGCTCTGCCGGGTTGGCCCCCGAGCCATTACATCTCAGGGCGCTTCTCCAACATCTCGAGGAAGGCATAAAAGCCCCATGTCTCTATGCAAATACTGGTGAAGGCCCAGCGAGCTTGGACAGCGCGCATCTTCAGCTTACGACGCTGAGTCATGGCCGCTGCAGTGGCAAGAGGAGCGTGTAGGGCCCACTCCCAGAAAGCACGGCGATGGGTCATCCAGAAACGCCAGTGTGCGCGGTACACTTGACTGAACTTGATTGGATCGTACCACATGGGACGTCTGGTCCAAGGGTACGCAAGGCGCCAGGGCTTCTTACCAAGGGCCTCTGCCTTCGACAAGATGGCCGCAATCACCCGACGAACGGGAGCTGGAGCAGCGCGACTCACGTCGAGAGGATGACCGAACTCGTTGGATGGGACGTGCGCCTTCTTGGGCTTGCTGGCGACACGAGCCTTCTTAGCGGACGACTTGGAAGTAGAGTCGTCACCGCTGGACTTACGCTTGCCTCGCGCGGGCGACTTAGGCGACTTGGGTGTCTTCTTGGAGGGCGACTTCGACTGCTTGCTCGACGACGTTGTCGACGCCGTAGCAGATCCTGAAGAGGGGGCAGAGTCTACCGGCGCGGGGAGGGCCACGCCTTGGAGCGAAGCGTCGGTCTGGCCATTCAGGATGTCCTCGGCGAGCTGGTCCAAGAACTGGAGACCCGACGACATGCTGTTGGCGCGCAGGCGCGCGCGCAGCTCGGTCCAGAACTGCTGCTGGAAAGCCCGCGCAGTGTCCCCTGGGGTGCCCTGCTCCTCATGGTCGAGGGCGGCGTTGAAGAACGCCCGGAAGCGCCTCAGCTCGGCGGCGGTAAGTCGTGTGGACATGGCGAGGAGCGGATTGTGAAATGAGAGAAATCCGAAAACAGGAAGTTTTTACTTGATGGCTGCCAAGGGGCACGCGAGAAGGTTCGACAGTTGGGACGTGGCGTCGACTGAGGGACGCAATGATGCTTGGTGACTTGGGCGGACAAGGTTTCGGGTGAAGAGCCTTCCTAACGGCTAACGGTCTGGAGGAGCTGCTGTTGTGACGATGTCACTTGGAAATTTATGGCGATGTGGGGAGGGTTAGCGGAATGGGCGGAACAGACAAACTGGGCGATGGACATCGAAGTGGCGGACGAGATGAGAGTCGTCGGCAGCGCTGTGATGGGGATAGTTATCTGGATTGCAACGACGCCTCTGCGGAACGTGTCGTGGGCGTTCCTCGACGGAACGATCGAGAACGTGCGTGCCATCTACCTTTTCTGGTACACTTGCTGCGATCGCTACTTGGTGGCGGCTCGAAACGCCCATGCCGCTGCTGTGCCACCTCCGGAGTACGCGTGCGCGCTAGTGAAGCTACTGTTTTGGTTCCTATCGCGGTGCTACAGGACTACGAATCCCGATTCGGAATTACAGGTCGTATGTGCCTTAAGTGGTGTGAAGCGTTCCACCATTCGTGCTGTCTGTACGTTCCAGATGCGAGTCTTTTGCTATGGGGAACGTCCTGCCGGTACGCTCGTGCCACTAGCGAAGCTGTGGTAGCTGTTGTGAATAGAGTTCGAGACTTTATCGCTGGGAGCTACTTGCTGACGTCATTACTACTGTCTATCCTAATCTACCTGCCCCGCCTGGTGTACGAGAGCGTCGAAGGAGTGCTGTGTGGATGGATGGGAGTGACACTGGCTGTGTTGATCGTGGACGTCTAGCTGGAGTTTGAAATTGGCTGTTGCTACTGGAACTTGGCTGTGTTAGTTGTCGGTTGCTACAGTTACGTGATGCGATATTATGAAGGGCTGCGGCCGAGCGCAATAGGCCAGAATGATAAGGCGGCGAGACGCAAGTGGGAAGGACTGGCTGGTCGTATAGAGCGTCGTGAGGAAAGAGAGCGAGCGAGCGTGGAGCGACTGCGAGGCATGCAGGCCGAAGGAACGTCGTCTGGAGTAAGGAACGAGAGTCTTAATGCAAGTGGAACGTCACGTGGGGACGTTCCAGATCTGACTGTGGAAGACACCGTGCGACAGGCTCCGGGCGATGTGGCTCGGCGAGGTCACCGAGCGTCAGTCGGGGAGAATTGTCACGGTGTACAGTTAGATGGTGGATTAACGATGCTGGCTGACTGCCTGCAGAAGGTCTACTCACTCCAGACTCTCCGGACCACGTCCAAGCAAGCGGGACCTGCGGCCAAGACAGTGACGTTCCAAGTGTGAAGTCGTGAAGCAGCTGGTCGTGGCGGGAATTGGAACTCGACCGCCACGCACGAGGGATCTGCTAAAAGGTAAGAAGCTCTAAAAACTCTTAGCGAGGTGAAATGAGGAAGTCAGTCATGGATTTCCTTCTAACAAGCAACACAAGAATATATCAACTTTTTCATTACTATCGCAGTAGTGTCGCTAATACTACTACCTCCTACGTCGGCCCAAGATACTCACGACCACGATTAGAGGAAGACCGCGACAACGCACGATGTGGACGAGGAGATCGGTAGAGAACAAGAACAAATGTCTTGATTTCGCTCTATCAACGTTAAACAGCTGCAAGCGTTTGCAGTTTTCCATCTCGATCGCCTTTGTCTGTGTCTCAGTGAAATACCAGAGCAAATACTCGTCATTCTTAAAGCCTACTGCTTTTCTAGAACCTGATCGAAAAAGTTATTTGGCTCCGCTCGGTTTACAGAGGGTAAGGTGGCAATAAACGTACTTAAGTGCGAAAATATCATAAAATATCATGTAGTATCTAATATTTTTCAGTTCTCTGAGTTATTATTTAAATATTATGTTAACTTTTGCAAAAATGAGTTAATATTAATATTTATTATCGAAAATAGTACTATTACTATCAAACATATCATAGGATATTTGGTTACCATTGCCCCCTGGAGGTGACACGCAAAATATGGATATGCTAATACAATTTTCAAGATGTTGACATATCACATGCATAAAGTAATCATTTCAGTACACTAGACTCAATTTTTGCAGTCTACAATTTGCTTACTGTTATACAAAATCTCGAGCACTAAAGATGTCGACAACTGGCAGGCGGTGCAGCTCTAGCGAACTCGCTTCGTCGTTACAATACATGCAACAGCCTGAGGGAGGAGACGTATTAAGAGTAATTACTGCTGTAGTATTATAAACAAGTAGTAGTATACTAAATGAGCAGAGCAGTAGATAGCATTCATCAGTCCCACGCGTTATTTATTTATTTACTTAAGCACTTAATCTGAATAGCAACACGGCGCCAACATTCTTCTGTCTCTCAGCATGCGTACCTTTCTACTACGGCTCATGGCTACGTCCACCTTGGCACCGGTTCCGAACGTGTATCTCCGTCTTACGCGGAACTTCCAGCTGGAGCAGTGCCACGCTGATCCACAACTCAGCCTTCCTGACCTCGGGAGTCGCATCCTCCACCTCCATGATCTCCATCTTGGCCTCTTCCGCCTAAACCATCTACTCTTTAATCGCGTCGGTCTCCGTCGCAGCCACTATTACGATCTGTGCGGGCAGCTTAGCAATACTAGCGAGGTGCAGACGCGCAGTAGAAGCAGCGACATCACCTGCATCGAACCCGTTCCGTTCACTTAGACCATCGTGTGCAACCCCACGGCCAGGTCCAGGTCGCGACACCGCCACGAGATATCCGGCTGGCGCACCACATCCAACCGCTCCACCGCGTTCCATACGCCACCACGAATACACCCGAACAACCCCACCGTGCTGCAGATCCGTAATCCGGACCATTAGCGCCATATCTCACTCGCCACGCTACTGCCAGCACACCTGCACGTTGGCCCTCACGCATGTCGAGCATCGGCCCGCTCAATGGCGCGTCTGTGAGTTTCCGCGTCCACGGACCAGAGCGCCGACCACACGGCAGCGCTGTCAAACAACGCGCCGTTCACGTCCAGCTCGACCATCGCCAGCAGTGCCTTCCTCACCCTCCCGGCTCTCCACATCATCCACCCGCTGCCGCCGCCCCCCTGTTACCGTTGCTGCATGTGTCCGCCACCCGCACGCCGCCCTTTCGCGGACGTCGCCACCCTTGCTCACCACCTCATTCACTCTGCTCCCTCACGCCTCTTCCCCTCTGGCTCGCCGCCGTCGCCACCATTGCCGCCACTCCACTCGCTCGCCGTCCGAACGATCTATCCCTCTTTCTAAAGGAAAAGAGCAATTTTAAAAATAAATGCATAAATTTTAACAAGTACCGGTACATGTAGTATTTTTGTTTAAACCACGTTTTATGTTACGGTCGGAGGTTGTCGGAGGTCGGAGATTTTATGGTTTGGTATGGAAGAAGACGGATGTTTAAAAAGATAGAATGTATGAACATTATAAAAATTATTAAACAAATAAATATGGAAGTGAATGATAGAGTTGAAAAGAAGTAAAGTTAGGATAGGTAATAAAGAAAAAATATTAATTTAGTAAATTAATAATGGAAATGGTTGGAAATGGTTTGAAAATGTATATGAGAAAATTTACATGAAACAACATGTAGGGTAAAAGATCTATTGAAGGACAAGAGTTAGGTCTACTATACCTTAAACCGAGTTGGTCGGTGCACAAACAGAATCTAAGTATTATAGAGAAAGGCGCACGACAATTGTCAAAGACTGACCTCTTTTCCAGATGCATAGCTACCGGTATTCATCAATGAAGCAGCAAACCATCAGAGAGCTAGCCAAGGCGACGCAAGCTTGACCGAATCGTCGGATTGATCTACATAGTAGAAAGATAATATATCGGAGAAAAAACTTCAGATTTGGAAAGCGCTGAGTACATTTGTAGCTTCTCAGTACGTCATGATCTATTTATAAAGCTGAACTCTTCTGCCACTCATTTGGCGCCAATGCGCTGTCATTTTGGCGCCATCGCCTACATCCACTCCATTTACAGCGCTTTCAAGCTCGCTTAAGCTCCATACAGATCCAGATTGTGAGCCATTCATCTAACGCACGCAGCTTTTCTGTACATGTGCTTCTTGGAAGCTCATTTATCAATCTACCATCTCACAAGATGCCCAGAGCTTGAGCTCAAAGCGTACCCGCGAGCTGACGGAAGAAGTAGTCGAGCATGGCGTTGCTCGGCTGATCCAACTCGACGAAGCCCGCCAACCTAAACGTGCAAGGTGTGCACGTGATGCAGCCAACCACGACAACGACCCCGGAGACTCAATGTCGCCCGTGCTCGATCGGTTCGTGCTGACAGGAGAGAGACCATCATGCAAACGACAAACTTCTCAGAAGAAGGGGTCAACAGGCTCTGGCGGGTGGTGGGGGAGTTCGTTATGCTTTATTGAAAGGTCGGTCGCGGCAAGAAGTGTAAGCACGGCGGAAAAGACACCCTGTTCATGATGTTAACCGCACTAAAACACTGTGGCAAGTGGGATGTTTTCGCCAGCGTATTTCAAATCATTCCGCCCACATTCCAAAAACTGATAGTGAAGTTTACCGAGATGATCTCGCCGTTCTTGTACGAGCACTTCGTCGGCGACGTCAATGCAAAGTGCTGCATGCGCCAGCTAGTCACTGGGAACACGTTTTCAAATGTTCCTTGCGCGCGGTACGCGACGGACGTGACCTTTTAGCAGGCCAATATCCCGTACGGCCTCTGTGAAGGTCGCAGCATCTATTACAGCAGAAAACACAAGCTGCATGGCTACAAAGTAGAAGTTTCCGTGTTTCCGACGGGCAAAGCAATCAACTGCACCAAGCATTACTCGGGGCATGTGTCGGATATCAAGCTATTCCGCAAAAATCAGTGCTTCCACTCCCAGAACACACAGAAGTCCGAAGTGGAGAAGCGTCTACACGACGCGGGTCCTCTCGTGGCCAAGTACCCCAATGAGTGGGCGTTACCCACCGACAAAGGATACCAGGGACTGTTATTGCATTTCCGTGCCATAACCCCGCACAAAAGACAGCCAGGTGAGACGCTTACGATCGAGGAGAGCGACAAAATCGCACACGATCCGTTCTTGTGGAAATTTGTTTTGGTCGTCTAACTACACTCTGGTCTGTGTGCCCTAACAAGTATCGCGGGGCTGAATCCAGATGCGACACCTTGTTTAAGACGTGCGTCGCTCTCACAAACATCCATGTGCACTTAAATCTGCTTAGGGTTGGGGATTTCGACTCTTACCGCGACTATCTTGGCCGCTTACTATCGATTGGTGAAGAGATGCCCTCTAAGCGCAAGACTTCTCAAAAGCGCTACCGTAGTCGTCGAGACCAGCGCCTCCGGGGCATGTTCCGTGTTCGCCACGAGCTGGAAGAGCCACTATCAATGTGCCATCACAGTGAGAGCAGCTGCAACGACAGTGATAAGACACTGCTTGGTCACTGAGAGCCATCAAAGCTGCACCTGTAGGAAACGAGGGTCAGTATTACAAATGCATTAGCTGTATACGGGTTCTGGCTCTGGCTTAAGCTGTATGGTGCTCAATTGCCAAAAGCGGACTAACATCGGAAATTCCTCATTCTGTTTGAGTTGAATTTGCCCTCGCAATTCTTCTTTTTATATTACGATAGTACAGCACACATTTAACTGTGGCTGTTATAACGATAAGAGCTTATCAACTGGGTTTGAGATCTAGTGATGGGTAAAAATGTATAGGAGGGTATTTCCTGCCACCTTCGCCCCGCTTCTAACCTTCTAGTCGGTCCGTCTGTCTGTAAATCGATCCGTCGTTTTCCTTTCTTGAGGCCTTTTCCCACCTTTTCATATGGCTACACCTGGCATATTTAATACAGAATTCTCCCATCCTACCGACCGCGCCTATCTTTCTGACTCGACCTAACTATGCCAAAATTACCAAAATAGCAAAAACGCCGTACAATTAACTCACGCCTGATTGGGCGATATTTTCCTGATTTATTTTCATTCAAAACAAAAAATTGGTTTCCTAGCGACGGCGCGGCGAGGACAAAGTGCGCTGGCTGTATAATAGCAGCACGGTAGTTTTAGATGTTTTTACGGGCGTGGGGCTTCCTGCCCTACTATATATTCAAGAGAGACCTCTCAGGATACAGTCTGAGGCTTGCCCCGAGACTCCACAGTTGTATGGGGGTTGGTAGCGATAGCAATCAGGCTGGGGTAAGTGTGACGGAGGGCCTTCAACCATGCATGCGCATATGGTCCTAGACCCACCGCGAGTGCCCACGCTCCAAAAGCGGGTGACGCGTGCTCAAACCGAAGTTGCAGCCACATGCGGAAGAGTCTTTACGGTCCCGCAATTGAGAGGTGCTCTTAACGTGTGAGCACCCACATCAAAACACATTTTGCGAGAGCTCTTCTGGCGGGGCGGAAAGGAATGCATAAGTCCGTCTCACAAGAGCACGGAGCCCAAGACCAAGTACAAGGACAGCAAGAGATCAAGACAAAAAAACACTTTAAGAGCATGAGTGAGCCCCGCACCTGTATACTTACATAACATAGCATCAGAATAGACAGTTTTAGAGAATTTCGGAGCTGTGTGAGTCCCGTAAGGGACTGGTTGTTTTTGGACACCCTGTGCATACTGCTGACATGACCTGAAGGGCGGTATCAAAGAGACCTGGGCAACCACTCAACAGTAGTGAGGCAACAGCGAATCCGGGTACGCATAACACCCCAACTGCTTCAGAGGTGGCGGCCGTTGTGATCGACACAAACTCAGCGGAGCATCGGGATATTATCCTACAAACGACAGAAGATTTCAAGCGCATCTCTGAGACGAGCGTTACCTACAACCCGCTGCAGTACCCTATACTCTTTCCGTTTGAGGAGAATGGCTGGACTTACGATATCCCGTACGTTAATAATCCCGTCGATCGCCACAGTGACCCGCAAACAATGTCCATTCGGGAATATGAGGCGTATCTGCTTTACGACCGGACGGTTAGTAATTCTCTGATCCTGTGCGGTGGACGACTAACGCGGCATACTGCGTTGACCAATGTGCCAATGCGAACAAAACGCCTGCGCTTCATAAAAAGAACCAACTCACTATCAATTGGAAACCCTCCAGGGACTTATGGACGCGTTGCGTGGCGAGTCCGTTTAAATCCACAGAATAGCAGCTGACGACGAGGCAGCCATACGTAGGACTCGGCGTGGGAATATACGGAGCAGGAGTCGGCGGACCCAGATGCGGGTGAGCTTGGATGCAAGATCATCATATCCTCGAAGTTTATAGGTGGTCCTCGCTACATGTACCACCGCTCCTTGGATACCATGGCTATCGTCCGTCAAACAGGCGCCCCGAACCTGTTCATTACGATGACATGCAACCCGAACTGGTCTGAGATCAAGGAAAACTTACGCCATGGGGAGAAGGCATCCGACCGACCGGACAATGTGGATCGCGTGTTCATGGAGAAACTAAAAGCTCTTAACAAGGATCTCGATGAGGGCATGCTGGGGATTCAAGCCGCTCGAGTCCATGTAGTGGAATATTAGAAGCGTGGTCTTCCATAAGCCCACATACTGCTTATCCTACGTCCGAAGGACGAATCCACTACTATGGGGACGTCGATAAGCTGGCGTCCGCGGAGCTCCCGGATAAAGAGAAGTACCCCGAGCTGTATGATACGGCGACTTCCAATATGCTGCATGGACCCTGTGGTCAACAGAGCCCAAAATGCCCGTGTACGAAGAACGGAAGGTGTTCCAAAAATTTTCCAAAGGCGCTCGCGAGCGAAACGGTGATGACCCCCGACAAACACCCCGCATACAAGCGTGGTCGCCGTCGGGATGAAATTTTGTGCCATAAGGGGAACGTATGGGACAACGTGACCATCAATAAATGGGTGGTCCCGTACAATCCGATCCTGTCGCAGAAGTACAGCTGCCACATCAACGTCGAGGTTTGTGTCACGACCAAGGCCTCTACAAGTACGTCTACAAGGGCTCGGACATGACTATTGGAGGCGAA